CAAATTAAGGTTTTCATTCATAAACCGGAGGTCTGGTACAGGGGATAGGGCCGATTTTGCTAAACCGTCAGCAATACAATTTTGTGTCCTTCGCACATAATCAAAAGATACGATTTTTAAATCGATAGCTAGATAAGAGATATCTTGGAGAATACCAAACAACTCTGGATTTTGGTTGTTGGAATTGATCATCGTGATGAGAGATTTGGAGTCTGAAGCTAGTCGGAAAGCTCGTTTTTCGGTGATCAACGCTTGCAAGAGGGCTTCCCTAATCGCTATGGCCTCCGCCATTAGTGGTGAAGCAACGTTGGATGATGCCTTTGATCCCTAGAGTTCGATATACCCCCCCTCCTGATTGTAGCAGATCCAGCCTAGTCCGGCCTGTTTAGATTCAATTTTCCACGCTGCATCCGTGAAGCAGGTGTATGGTGTCAGATCCGTTGTCAAGGGTCGTCGGTTCGGTTCCTTGGTCGGATCGTGAGATTCTGGTGATGGTCTTGAGATCCACTCTCTAGCCTCGCGGATGGCTTTGAGGATTGTGTCTCTCGCAGAGACGGAGCGGCTGTTGAAGATCAGGTTGTTCCGAGATAACCAGATATTCCAGCATATCCAGGAGAGAATTGGGCCATTCACTCCCGTCGCTGGGAGACAAGTTAACGATTTAGACATGGAGAGACCTGTTTCCATATCCGGAATCGCTTGGAGGTTGATGGGCTCTTTGAGGGGGGCTAGATTCCTGACTTGCTTGGCGAAATCACAGTGGAAGAAGATGTGTTGCGGTGTCTCAGAGGAGCCACATCGGGTACACTGACCTTGGGTTGTAACGCCTCTAGAGGCTAGTAACAAATCACCATACCAAGAATTACCCTCATGCCTTTCAATGAAGGAGAAAAAACAAAAAAAAAACCCAAAGCCCATATAATTGGACAATTAAAAAAGGAAAACGAAAATAAAAAATAGACCAATCAGAAAATTGCCCAGGAAAAATAATTAAAAAAATTTGACCAATCAAAATCATTTACTTTCTTCTTCTTATTCTTGACGTCGATA